CGGTACACAATGAATGTGCATCGATGCACATAACCCAGAAATTCCAATTATAACACAAAATTCACTTTCTTTTCAGCTCAATTCTTCATCTTTCGCCTCTTTTAATATCCCTGACTTTCATACACATACTTGCACTCATTTCTACTCAATAATCACTTCTTTAACCTCCATATCCTCTCCTCCTTATGAAATTCAAGAATCATACCCAAATTTTAACATGTTACATATCCAATTCTAACACTTCATACATGTTAATTAGATTGATGACAAGTCAAATTCACTCTAAAACCTTATTAAAGAACCCTCTTTCAAGATTTCACTTATTCCTCTCTTTTCTTTAATTCCCTCTATTCCCTTCATCTTATTGTTTCAAAACAATTTAAGCTCTCCTTAAGCTTAATTATCACTTAATAATCAAAACTCAACCTTAAATTTAACTAGAAACTCAAAAATTAGAAAACTCACCTTTAGCTCTTGGTTTTCACGCGTGAAGGAAGAAGAAAGATGAAGAGAACTCTAAAAACCACTTTGTTTCCTCTTCTCTTCCACGTGTTTAATATATACAATCATCTTTAATTATTTTTCCTGCAATTGACCCTTTTTCCCTTCAATTAATCTAATAATTACTAACATCCTTCAAGCAATATTTCCAAATAATCATTGAACTATTTCATTATTCTACTTTAGTCACCCAATTCTGAAACTTTACGATTTAGTCACTAACCCAATATTGAGGATGTTACACACCTTCCTCCTACGAGTAGGGAATAGAGAATTTTGGTCGTAACCATATTTTGCAGCCACCACTTTCCGCCTAAGCCCATTTGACTCTTGTATTAAAAAAAAGTCCAACCCTTCGTATTCACGAGGTTTGCACACATTAGCCCATTTAACCCAATGAATTGCCTTTCCCGAGTCCACCCCTATATAAAATTAGCCACCAGTTTATTTACTTTCGACGCGACCTTAGCTGGCATTTATAACAAAGACAGGAAAAATATCGATAAATCTGATAAAACTGGTTTTATCAAGTGACCCCACCACCAAAAGACAGAAGTTTCCCCTTCCATCCATCTAACCATCTTGGAATTTGTCTAATATCAAACTCCACATTTCCGTAGAATTCCTCGGATGACCCAAGGGTAACCCAAGATACACCGTAGGAAGCTTCTCTCAACTACATTGAACTAATTTTGACCACGATACAAGGCTACTCTTAGAGACATTAACACCGTATAGTTTCATCTTTTTTAAATTGACAACTACCTCAAATACCTTGAGAATCATCTTTACATTCTTTACCATCTCTCCATTTGCTTCCGAAAACACTATCAAGTCATTGACAAATTGTATGTGACTGTGCATCTAACTAGTATTAATTGCTACCCCTTTGAAGCACCCCATAGAAGTAGCTTTGTTCAACATCCCACTTAAGCCTTCCTCAACTAAATGGAATAGCAATGAAAAGATGACACCCTTTTCGTAGCCCCCTCCTTATTGAAAACCATTCAGAGAGATCCATTTACTAAAACTGATATTAAAGGAGATGAAATGCATAAATGAATCAATCTTCTCCATTTTTTTCGAATCCCATTTTTTTCATTACAAAATCGAGTAATTACAGTCTACATTGTCGTAGGCATTTGAGAAATCGGATTTGAAGATCACCCCCATCTCTCTTATTTCGATACAAATAATCAATTACCTCATTAGCCATTAAACAACAATCCACAAGTTTTTTTCCTGCAATGAAGGCAAATTGGCTCTCGTCGACCACATCTTTAAGACATCCAGCGCCTTCTAGATAGAACTCTAGCCAAGATCTTGTATAGGCTACTCACTAGCAAGATGGGTCATATTCATCAACACAATTGGGGATTAGGATTCTTTGGGATGAGCGCAATAAAAGACTTATTGTTGTCATATCCTTCAAGTTCCTTTCATAAAATTCAGCAAAGAACTTTAAGTCTCAACTTTTAGCACAGACCAGAATCTTTGAAAAACTCCAGATCTCTATCCGGTCTGGGAGCATAAGACCCATTTGCTGATGCAGTAGCTTGCCACACTTTCTATTCTGAAAAAGGAACTTCATCGACCTTTTAACTGAAGAGGAAAATCTCCTAAATTGTATATCGAACTCAGTCATTGGATTGTTGTTGACATTATTGTAGTAATATGAGAAATGATCTTTAAACACTTTGGCTATGTCTGCTGACCGCTCACCCACACGTTTTCCATTTCTGATATTTGAATATAATTCTTCCCACCTCTCAAAGCAGCCGTTAATGGAAAAATTATGTGTTTCTATCCCCCACCTTAAACCATTTCATCTTGATTTTTGTAGTCATTCTCTCTCAGCCCGTTTATGTTTCTGCCACAATTTAGCTTTCAAAACTCTAATCTCATTTAGGACCGACTCATTGTTACTAGTGGAAAAAACTATTTTTTCTAGACTACTAATCTTGTTTTCAATGTCTTCAATAGAATCTCTGTCCATCAGTCCGACATTCTTGACCTAGGTCTTGGTAACATCTTTTGCCACCTTTAATAATGTTGATATTTCATTTACCTGGTTGTTTCTAATCGCAGCCTCCATCGCTATCACATACTCATTGCCATCCCCCCAGTGGCCAAACCACTTGAAAGGGCACGGACCATACTGTATTTTCTACACTTTCAACAGAACCGGATTATGATCCGATAGCCCTCTATCTAAAGCTAATTGAACCAGTGTTGGGTATTTGCTTAACACTCCGTCCGAAATAAGGAACATATTCAATCTGCTCGCTGAAACAGACTTGCCACCTCTGAACCAAGTATAACAGCTCCCCGATAAAAGAAGATCTACCAAATTCTGATTTTGTATAAATTCGGACAATAGTTTCATACCTCCCGTATATTTTGTAGCTTGGAATCTCTCAATGCATTATTTGATAGTATTGAAATCTCCTCCAATTACCACCAAGACAATCATTGTTATAATCAACGCACTTATCCCGGAGAAAAACATTCTTCTCACTCTGATCATTCGGACTATTTATTATAATGAAATTTGGATCCCACAGCAGAATTAACCCACCCAAGGCACCCTCTGACGGAACTGTAACAAATTGGCTTCAAGTTTTCCCAGACAATCTTCTACACACTGTTGGAGAAATCTATTGAAGCTTTGTTTCCTGCAAAAATATTAACTTTGCTTTGCTATTTTGAATTTGCCTGCTATATCTGATGCTCTGAATTTAATCCTAAGAGTCTCCGCTAAAGCAAAGGTGGACATCGCTTCCGAACCAACATCAGCATGCGCCTCCAAAATAGGAATAAGATCTCATTCATCGATTGTCACGGCCCTTATCTCCATTGACAAAATTTACTTCTCAGCTTCATTCACTACTGCCCCCTTTTTAATTTTTTTTACTCTACTCCTCTTTGGCGCACGAACCTTCTTCCCTTTCCCTTTTAGTCGTTAACCTCAATACTTCTATTATATTAAAATTAATCTAATTAAAAATTATTAAAAAAATCTGGTTAATTAGGTTAACCGACCAAAATAACTGAACTGTGTTCGGTTCAGTTAATATTTTTTTTTTAAATTCGATTCGATTAACGGTTAAAGAAAAAAGTTTGATTAATTCGATTAATGAAATCTGCTTTGATCGGTGACCGAATTAATCATTTGAACACCCCTAATTAAGGAGAATAATCTTTTTTTCACGTTTGGTTCACGGAAAATATCATTATCAGATAATAATTTATTACCAATAGTAGCATTTTTTTTGTTAAAATGTTGGGAATGTCATTGCATCCAAATTCTTAAGTAATGAACAATTTTTGCCACTTTGGACATAAATACCCCTAAAATAATGAATTATTTTTGCATGGATCCTTCCCGATTGTTATTCTTTGTGTTTTACTCAAAATTATTAACTTAATAATGATAATATACAAAGAGTTTAATTTAATAAAATATTAGTAAATTTGAGTAATTAAAATTATTTTATATTTTTAATATTTAGTATATTAATCATTTTATAATTTTACGAGGTGAAAATATTATTATTGTAAAAAATAATTATTTAAAACAATATTTAATTTTTCAGCTATTAAAAATAGATCTTATACATTGAAAAACAATATATTTATCCTCTCGAGACCATAATATTAGCTTTTATATTATATTATATTTTATATAAATAAATATGATACTTATGAAAATTATTTAAAAATATATGTTTGATATATTAATTATATGTGAAATGTATTTTTTTTCTTTAAACTTAGATAGTGCAACAATTAAAATATTTTTATAAATTTTAGTTCAAACATTTATTATTTAATATTAAAGTTTAACTTGTTAAAAAGAACATATATCATATGGATAATTTAGTAAAATATGCATTCAAGTAATCTAATATTCCTCCAATCAAACACTGTAATCTTATATTCCTGTTAAACAAACCAAACAAGATAATACATCATTCTCAGAGTAATATTATATTTCAATAATCTTATTTTCAAAAATAATTTTACATTTCGTGAATTAAAATCACCATAGGTGTGATGAGAGTGGAAAACAAACTAATCAATTAGGACAACACTCGTAACATTTTCAAGCATTGAAACTTGCCCATAAATGTTTAGGATCAATGAATGTAACTAGAATGTCTCGATAATTATTTTTTATCAAATAACATATCAACAACAATTTCTCCATTTGTGAGATTGTCGAACAAACAATCGAAACAAATTTTGAAAATGCTGAAAAAAATCTGGTTTGAAAACAAATTTTGAATTGTCACATAATTAGAAAGCTTTTTCAAGGTATGCATGGCTGGTTTCAAGGTTGATATTTGGTTATTTGGATTCAACGCTTGAGAGGGATGAACATACAAGAACAGTGAAGTTGTACCTGCTGATTTTTGCAGCTGTTACCGTACAAATCTGCATGGTAACAAAGATGATTGCTTCTAAGGTTCTAAGAAAGTGTGTCTATACGCATTTCATTATACTTTCAACATTTTACAATCAAATAATTGACTGAATGTCGAATTAAGAATGAAACATCGATATTTTTTTTGGGCTGTGTTGCATTCAGTAGGCAAGCCTTGAGGGAACCTCTTGGTGTCTGCGCAGTAGTTGTATATCATGTAATTCTTTTGCACCCATTGAAGCCTTTCCTGATTTGATGAATCTAAATCTTGTGAAAGCCATTCATTATTGGGTTTTGAAGCAGCTGGGGAATTTGAAGAGCAAGAAGATGATCCAGTAGACCAAATGCAGGCATTCGCATTGAAGTTCCTGTAAGAAGCAGTGAAAGGAGCTTGTGTCCAATCTGTCTTCACCACCCCACCCCTTGTTGCCCAGTCATCAGCGTTCCACAGACTCGAGTATATTCTCATGGGCTGGTCTTTGGGGAATGGGACTCCCATTGATTCCAAGTTCTTGAACTCTCTGATCGGCGTACCATCAACAGAAAAGCTGAATCACAAAACCAACAGCATTGTTAGGACGGTGAAGATGGACAGAAACAACATTTGTTGCTCGAGAGTGAATTACTCACATGATTCTTTGGGGATTCCAGAGGATGGAGTAAGTGTGGAAATCTGCAGTGGGGTCGAACCATAGATAGAACTGTTGTTCCCTGTTGCCTTTTCCCTGGCTAAACACATTGGTGTGCAAGATGTAGGGATCACTACTCAGGTTTCCCAAGAATTCAAAGTCAATCTCATCCCAATTTGATCCTTTTGAAGATAACTGCAAACATTTCAAAAGCAATAATGAGTAAAGACTGATTACCTGATTTAATATTTCAAGTTCTTGGAAAATGGAATAGGGAAACATACATAATAGGCGGTAACAATGCCTGCAGAGTTCCCAGGGACAAGCTTGAGTTGCATGTCGATCTTCCCAAAAAGATATTCATTCTTGGATTGGAAACCAGAGCCAGACGCTTTATCAAGGGAGAGAGTGAGAACATCTCCATTATTGACAATTTTACCACGACCATCTCCCCATGTGATGTCGAAATCACGGTGGAAGTTAGCAGCCACAGTAGAGGCAGCTATAAAAGAGTAGAAAAGCAGGGAGGAAATAACAGCTGGTGATGCCATGAAAGCTATTGTATATTTGGAGAAGAATAGACTGCAGCAGTGATGTAAGAGATAGATGAGTTTTGGTTGGCAGTGTAGTGAAATGGAATATGGTATATATAGAGCAGCTGCATTGTATTATTAGGTTAAGTTCTTGATTATCATGTATTATCATTATTATTAGGTTAAGTTCTTGATTATCATGTATTATTCTCACTCTCTTAAAACTTATAATCAATTATTTGATTCTTAATTTGACATTCAATAAATTACTTTTTTGAATAAATTGATTGTATTACATCCAAAGCAGCATCAAATTACTATAAATTGATTGTATTATTAATGCCCCTGGTACCACCACCACTCAACGGCGACCTTCTACTACCACAACCACCGTTGAGAGCCTCTTTCACAATGGGTGGATCCTTCCACGGGCGGCCCTCAGCTAGGGCTAGGATACGATCGCGATAAATACTTGCGGCATTGGAGTTATATTTGGTAACGATATCGTTTTCTTTAGGGATCCCGTATTGAGCCAAAAAAGCATTCTTAAGAGATTTTTTTAAAATAATAATAATAATAATGGGAGGCTAAAATTTGATGTGGAAGAAGAAGATCAGCGACACCGTCCAAACATTCTTAAGAGATTGACCCCTGCTTTCGCCTACTCTTCTTCAAATTACGCTTTTTAATTTTTTATGGTTTAAATGTAGATTTGCCCCTAAACTATACTCTTTTTACCGAGTTGCTCACTAAATTACTTTTAAGATGTTTTGCCCTAAAGTTTTCAAACTTAATTTTGTCTAAAATTTCTTTAACCGTTAAAAAACTTCATAGACCAACTAGGATGTGCCATGTGGTATTTTTCCTAAAATATAATGCCAATTTTAATTGAAAAGGGTAAATTCCGTGTTAAATCTCTCAAGTTTTTATTTTAATTGAATTTAGTCCCTACATTTTTTTAATTAACATGAAATTATCCCTTATTTATTTCTATTTTTAATTTAATTCAATATTTTTTATAATATATTAAAGGGTAAATTATGCATTTCTAAACTATTAGTTTTGATCCATTTTAGTACCTAAACTTTTTATTTTTTCAAAATCATATGTAACGTTTAGTTTTTATTTTGTTTTAATACCTTGCGTTAAAACTTACGGAGGACTTGCAGCACTTTTTATGGGTAAATTGCATAATTCATCATTCAACTATCTTCCCACTCCTATTTTGGTCACTAAAGTTTAATTTTTTAATTTAATTACTTAACTTTCAAATTACTCCTAATTTAATCACTCTAAATTTCACCATATCACACAAATTATTTATAAAATAAATTAGAGTGATTATTTATGTTAGTCCTTTTGTTAACTCGTTATATAAAGACCACTCAGTGTTTCGTTTCCATGTATATCTCTCTCTCTTTTTCTCTTGCACGGACGTGTACATTAGTTTGATTGTTCACTTGCCCAAATATTATGCAAAATATGGAACGATTCTTTCGTTCAGTTTTAGCTGCTTTCTTTGTTTTGTTGATTCTTCTATCATCAGATTTATTTTCTTTAACCATTTTTATTCATAAACCCTTTTTATTCATAAACCATATTTGATATTCACATTTCAAAATAGCAGATGTTTTATAATCTTATATATTCATGTTTATATACTTCAATTTTCTGCACGAACCATACGACCTCAGTGGTTAAGGGATTATTGTTATCCTTTGAGGTCTTAGCTCAATCAATGTGTATGCAAGGGTATAGTGTGAAATATATATACACAACTTCAATTTTCTCTAATTATCTTGCATTTTTTTTCCTTTTGGTAAAATGAAGCTGAGATTGGACCTATAGTGGTGGAGGGTAGAATATGTGAGTCTCCAAGCGGAAGGTACATGGGGTGGTGCATAAGTAGCCTTGAATGTTATGTTACCTGCCAGATAGAGGATTATGACGGTGGAGAATGTCAAGGCTTTATTTCTCGACGCGTGTGCAATAAGAAGTGTTAGCCAATATTTTATTAAGTATGTGCTTGAGAGTTGAGAGAAATGATACATTCTTAACACATTTGTGTGCCAAATGTTTTAAATTATGCATCTATGATGTAATACCTTCTAGTTCAATTCTCTTAAAATCCCTGTATTCTTCTTGAACTAATTATTTGAATCTATAATAAATAAAATAAAATAAAAATGATTTGGAACATGATATACAAATGATGTCTGATATCGTGGGAATGATGTCCTTTTCAATTGAATGCTTTTTTTATAATTCTTAAATTCATTGATGTTTGGAGTGTAACTCCAAATCTAATCACGAACACAAAATAAACCTAAAATTATCAAATACAATATTTTTAATTAAATTCTCAATTAAACATAAGTTAAAAATAATTTAATATCTCATATAATAAATTATTATCGTAAAAAATTTTCCACCATACATTAACCGAATTATACTCAATGATAAAACCACTAAGATACACAAGTACATTTCTTTTATTAACATATTCATATCTTATTTGTATCATGCTTTCTTTAGTGCATACTTCATCCGGGATCATTTCATCATAGGTAATAACTCTTATACAATATATATTAATCACATGAGTCATTCTATTGTATTTAAAGTTAATCAAATTTGTGTTCGTTTCTCACTATATAAACATAGGTGATAACTTTATGAAATAGTTTTATTATACTTATTATAATAGAATAGTATATTAGCAAGCAGAAACAATCACACAATAAAAGAGAGAGAGAAATGAAGTTGAGATGGGGCCTATGGTGGTGAAGGATAAAATATATGAGTCTCAAAGCGAAAGGTACCAGGGATTGTGCCTAAATAGCAGTTAATGTGTTGATATCAAGATGGAGAATTACGACTACGACGAAGGTCAAGGTTTTATTAGTCGACGTGTGTACGATAAAAAGTGTTGGTAAACGGTCGAATTTTTTTTAATTTCAATGGAACTCGTCATGCCGGTGTGACGAGTTCCAACGACTATTTTCAGTTTCAAAAAACTAGCCGTTGGATAGAGTAGTATAAATAGAGGTTTGGGTTGGATAAATTTTTCACTTGTAATCATACATTCTACTGAGAGCAAAAAAATTTTGTGTTGAAATGGCATCAAGAGATGAAATGTTACGTCTTGATGAAGTTCATATTTCGTCGATCGAGTTGACAATGATAAGTTTAATTTTTTTTATTTCATTTTAGTTTTGAAAAAATTATAGTATTAATAATAATTATTTATGTAATTGTAATAAATAATTTATTTTCAAATTGTAGCGAGAAGAACGAATCTTTCATCATAGAGGAATGACGAATAAACAGCCACATCAGCGGATGGTGATATATCTTTCACAATCCAGATTATATGGAGCGACGTTTCTTCACGGATTTAAGGTGATGTCGGCACTGATATCGGTGTTGATTGAGCAATAAAGGCCTGAAGCGCATACATTTCATTTCCCTTGTGGTGAAGTGACGATAACTTTGGAAGATGTCGCGTATCAACTTGGTGTTCCGATTAATGGTATGCCATTGGTGCTTCGCAACACTTAAAGGTAAATAATGTTATTTCTAATTTTTTGGGAAATGAGGCTCTAACCGATGTCATCGATGGGTTGCGGGTACTGATGACGTGGTTGGAAATAGAATTTAGAGTAGATGAACAATCAACGGAGCAAGAGGTGATATATGTAGCTCGAACATATCCTTTGACGTTGATTGGAGGGATCTTTCTACCGGATAAATCGGACAATTTGGTGCACACCCAATATCTTCCGGTAATGGAGGATTTCGTTATATGTCGCCAATATAGTTGAGGTTCTGCAATTTTGGCATTTTTGTATCGTGAACTATGTAAGGTGTTGAGTTAATCGATTGATGGAAATGGTCAAGGGGGTGAATTGGCAATTAAAATTTTGGTGGAAGCTTTTGAAGAAAATTGAAAATATTTGCACAACGATTTAGAGTGGTTCGACTTTCTCAACCAAAGTCTACGTCCACTACCTTAGCTATCCACACTAAGGATTTTCCAACAAATTCACTAATTTGTTCTTTCTTTTGAGGACAAAGAGTAACCTTACAACTCCCTCAAGAATTATACCCTAAATTCTTGAGAATACTCTTTTTCAAAGAGAAATACACAAATTTGCAAACTTACAAGGAAAACCTCACAAGGTAAGATGTTTGCACAATTCTAGAATAAGAAAATAACACTAAAAAATAATTACAAATGAGCACAAATGGTGTTCTTGAAAGGAAAATGAATATTGAAAGGAAAATTGACTTGATTTGCACAAACTTGGTGTTTGATGCTTTCTCTCTTGTTTCTCTATGATTTCTTGTTGATCAAAGGCTTCAGAACTTGTTTAAATACTCCCTCAATTGATTCTGAACGTTGGGGATGATTAGTGGAGTCAATGGAGCCGTTTAAGTGTGAAAACCATTAATAAAACAGCTTGGAGCGTGAAGGGAATCTGTACCCCCTAATGGGGAATCGGTTCCCTAAGTGTAAAATTCAAATATTTCGACCGTTAAACAGGGGGGAATCGGTACCCCCTTGGGGGGGAATCGGTTCCCGCCGAGCATTCTGTTTTTCTCGGAGCCAAACCATTCAGGGGGGAATCGGTTCCCTCTGAGCAATCTGGAATTTTTGGCTTTGAAATGGTTCGAAATATTTTGTAAAATTGTTTTGAAATTATTTTAAGATTAAAACTTAATTTTACACTTGAGTAAGGATTAAAAATGAAATTTGAAAGATTTGAAGTAATATTTTGATATTCGAATAATTATATCGAATATACTTTAGAAAATATTTTTGGAAAATCTTAAAATTCATTTAACTTAATTTGTTATATCGAAATATCAAAATGTTTTCAATAATCTCCCCCTTTTTGATAGAACAAAACATTTTAGTAATTTTAAGATTTTGAAATTACTCCCCCTTACTCTAACACTTCTCCCCTTTAAAAACACTTTAATATTTCTCCCCCTTTTTGTTAAATCAAAAAGACCTTTAAAAGATTTTA